CCATACAACTCTTGTGGCCCTGGACCCAGGAATCTGCAATAATCTGGCAATCTTGAGGCAGTCATATGGAGAAACCATGTAAAGAGACTATTGAGAGAGGGAATGGGGAGGAGTTGGGGAGGGAGGAAAAGAGAGAGACAGATAGAGAGAGAGAGAGGAGCACAGTTGTTTAGACTAATTAGTCCCAGCACCAAATATTTACGTGAAAAAGCCATAAAGATGACTCTAGCCCAGTGATGGCAAACCTATGACACGCGTGTCAGAGGTGACACGCAAACTCATTTTTTTTGGTTGATTTTTCTTTGTTACATGGCATTTAAATATATAAAATCAAAATAAAAAATATAAGTCTTTGTTTTACTATGGTTGCAAATATCAAAAAATTTCTATATGTGACACGGCACCAGAGTTAAGTTAGGGTTTTTCAAAATGCTGACACGCCGAGCTCAAAAGGTTCGCCATCACTGCTCTAGTCCAAGCCACCTCTTGAATGCAATGTATGTGATACCTTTAATTATTTTAGCTGGCTTTCTCACCTCCAGATTTGTGAGCATGATAAATTGTTTTATGCTACTGCTTTGGGATGGCTTGTTACACAGCACTGAATAATCAGAACAAGGTCAGCTTTAAAATGAGCTAGTCATATCACACAAATATTTAATATGATCTCACACATATATAGTCTTTCCTAATTTTGTTTCATATAATCTGGTACATACTTAGGCTATGAAAGAGAGGTAGGTGTTCAGAAGAAATGTCTAATATAAGCCAGTGTACTTAAACAAAAAGATGTCATTCACTCAATATATATTTATTGAGTATCTACTGTGTGCTTAGCAGTTTTTTATGTTCTAGCAATATATCACTGAATAAGACAAAATATATATTCTTTGTCCATATGGTCTCAAGAGATAAAGACATCAAATAAAGAAATATGTATAAAATAATTCCAGGCAGTTATGTGATAAGAAGAAACAAAAAATTATGCGAGGCATTTAGGGGTGTGCTATTTAAGATGGAGTGATCAGAAAAGTCATTTCTCAGAAGATGGTATTTTAAAATTAACATTCCAGGATGAACAGCAAATGTGCCTGTCTTGACCCATGAAAAAGAGCAATGAGGATAATATGTCTAAAGTAGAGTGATCAAAGAGGAGGGAGATGTGAAATGATGATGATAAATTTGAATTCCATTTTAGGTGAGATGGGAAGCCATGGGAGGATCAGGAGAAGGAGATGATTTAAATCACATTCTCTTGCATGAATATAACAGAGAGGATTAGCTACTGACGGCAACCCATGTCCTCTTATTCCTAGGCACACAGTAAGAATACATTTCTCAGCCTTCACATCATAGGATGTAACTGAGTGCCTAATATCTAGCTAATAAAATGTGATTGGATCTAACACATACCTGGCCCATAAAAATCTCCCCCGTTCCAGCTGACAGGAAAGCTGGTAACACTAAGAACAACCTTAGTAACCAAAGGGTAAAGATGGCAGAGGCATCATCAGCCGAGGTGCCTGAATGACTGCATGAAATAGATTCTCTACGCCTATACTCACCTCCCAACATACACTCCCCAATCATGCACACAACACCACCATTATCAACTAGGTAAAACCTTGCACTCTTTCATGTAGAAAACCTAGTCTGCCTCTAGGCTAACAGTTATAAGAGAGGCTGGACTGGAAAGATAATGAAAAGGCTATTTTAATCAAGTAGGAGAGATATATCATTAGTTTACACAGGTTGGTAACTATGGATGGAGCAAGATATGGTCAAATTTAGAGTACAGTTTGAAGATCAAAATTTATGGATCAAAATTCAAAATATCAGCTAAAGTTTTTGAAAATTCTAGTATTTTTAAAATATTTTTGTGAAATTAGATGATAGAATAGGCTTTTCCTGACTCACTTTTGCTGAGAATAGAAGCCACAGAATTCTACAGTGAGTGCAAAATAGACACTTTCTTACGTAGAATTTTCAAAGTAAGTGAAAAACACTGATTCTATGATTCTTGGACTATATAGACCAGTAAAGGGTTAGAGACCAAATTTGATTAGAAGGATATCTTTGGAGAAAATTGTGCAATGCACCTTCTTCCAAGCTTAAGTTGGCTGAGGGAGAACCTCGTTCACCATTTCAATCCTACTGAAGGGCTTCCCATGGGGCCAGGTCTCCATCCCGAGTGGACCCAAGATGGTCAGGGGAGAACATTTTGAATTGTCAGGTTTGAAGTTTTAATATTATTTTGGATCATGAATCCCAAACACTGATAAATGTGTGCTTGTGATTTAAAGGTACTGTAGGAGTCTCTATTTGTAAGAATGAGCAGAAGGGTCATGGGGTCTGCCTGACTTTTCTTCCTGAAGCAGGAAATATGAAAACACTGCATAAAAGTTGAAATGACCACAGGACACCAAAGTACAGTAATGTCTTGATCATGTTATGAATCATGCTCATTCAGCACAGGTTCAATTCACAACAGGAAAGAAATGTGGGCATTTCTAAATACACTGAATCACAACAACAGGGAACTTCAGGTGGAATGGCATATTATCTAATAGGACTTTGGAAAGCCCTGAGCTCAGGCTACCTATCATGTGACTAGGAAATCAACATAATTTTCTTATCACATTTGTTAAGCAACTACTATCTTGACTTGGAAGAAACTTAGCTCAACCTTTCAATTTTTTAAAGATTCTAAGAAAAAGCATTACTGCTATATTTATAAATGTTCTAAGAAAATATTAAAACATGAAATTTACCTTCAGTTCTGAGCTTGTTATCTACATGGAGTGTTACCTATATTGTTTATTTTGAAGTGTTTTATACTTTAAAAATAGAAAATGATGAACTCAGAAACTTTCTGGAATTTTTTTTCCCCATCTGAACCCTATACTTTCATTTTGTCCAGAGATATTCTCAAATGGCCATGAGAATCCTATGCACAGTATATCCTTGTGCTTTCTCAGAAAACCTGGTCTGTGGGTCTTGATTTAATTACAGAAAAAGAATGGGGAGAAAATAAACCTAGAGTTCTACTTCTACTGTATCATGGCACAATTAATCTAAGACACTACAAAGATACACAAAATCAGAGCACTTGAGAATAATTTATTTGCTATAAGAAGAAGAAAACCATACTTCTTTAACTGAATTTCTTGGCCTTTGTGGCAGAAAGTAGATGCCTCACAGTGTTGTAGCAGCGTTTCTCCCTGCAGTGTAACCTAGGACCCTTTGACAAGGTTGGTTCTGTATTCAGTAAGGTTATAGGCAAACTTGATTTTATACATTATGTGAATGGCACTGCTGAGAGCTTTCTGGTAATATGATATGACTATGAAAATATGTATTTCAGATGAATTAAAGGGATAAAAATTATAAATTGGAGAAATACATTCTAGGGCTTTATTAACTTTAGGTCCTTTGTAAGAACACAAATAAAAACTGCTAGGATGGGAAAGAGCAGATCATTTTCTGAGCATATATTTGCTGTGGATGGAGTTCATCCTTTACAAAAGGTGCCTGAGCAACACGGGCATTTTATGCTGGACGTGCTGCCGTTTGTACATGGATTCAATGTAGCTGAGGATGATCCTGCGGTCAAACTAGATTCAATGCATTGTTTTTCTCTAGTGAGTTCCTGTCCTTGATAAAATAATGGAACAAAAGACTCTACACTGCATTCATGACTCTTAAGGATCATTCTGCAATGCTTTAACTAATCTCGCAATTATTATAGCAAGATTTGGTAGCATTTTTTCATGACTACTTGATAAAACAAGTGTTTTAGAGCAAACAAAAAGCAGAATTAATAAACATTGGTGATTTATAAAGTTTTTACTTTTTTAAAAATTTGGGATAGAGGGAGAAGAGAATCTAGTTACTCAATGAGATAAGGACTTAGAAAGAGGCCCATTTCACCAATACTGATATTTAAAATAGAAAGGGCGTGATCATTCCATTTGTAGATTTATTCTTATTCATTTCTATATATTATTTCTTTGCATACTTAGCTTCCTTCCTTATTTTCATTTGTCTGCTAGAAAAGTCCTCTTGGCCATGTGGATGTCTGGTTTAACTTTAGAAGCAACAGTGTCCATCCTCTGTCCCACCCCAGGACCATGCCTGCGGGACATGAAGACACATATGCTCTTCCTGCAGTGACTATAAATACTCCGGAATGGAGGGAAAGCACCCACCTTTACGAAGCACTAGCACACCACACCATCTGGTGGCACCCGCACCAGAACATGGCTTAGTAGCCCACCTTTTAAGTCAATTCCTCAATTACACTTTGCCTTCTACTCTCTCTGACTTTTCCATGTCTTTCTCTAATCTCAGTCTGTTTAAACTCTACCCATTGTCTCCTAGTGCAAATGTCATTAGATATTCCCTAATAACCTGTGCCAGAAGTAACTATATATTTTTAATATTTCTATAGTGTTTGCTTATGCCTGCCAAACACTGTATCATGTGACTATTAATTTATTCATTTTATTTTTAGTACCAGACAATAGAATCCTTGAGTACAGATTAATGTTTTATAGATCTCTATATAATCTCACAATTTAAAGATCTGCTTCTAATAGGGATTTAATAAATGTTTATTAACCATTAAATTGATAAATATGTGAAACTCCTAAAGTAAACACACAAACTGTATAACAATAATTAATGTTCAATGCTATAATTGCATTTTAATCTTGTTTTTTTTTTTTTTACTAAGAACATATGATCAAAACTATTCAATGGCACCACTAAGAATATGTCATGAAAACTATTCAATACAAACATAAGGCATTGTGATTAAGATTTAGGAATTTTAGGTTTCATTTATAACTAGGCATCATTCATTATTTATAAACAATTTTTCTGTATATTATATTATATATATATGCAAATTTGAGGAAATATTTTTGTATCAAATATTATTTGTTTTGTGATAACCTGGCTCACCCAGAAATCTGTGTTATAATAATCTCTAAACTTACCTCTCACAATGATGTTAGTGGACTTCTTTGCAGGGTTTCCCACATTGTTATTGGCAACACAGCTGTAAGTACCAGCATCTTCTGAGGTGATGGCAGGTATGGTCAAAGTTCCTCCATGCAAAATAGTCTTATCAGACAGAGGCCCAAAGGTCCTGGCCCAGCTGAGAGACGGTGCAGGCTGTCCTCCTGTTGTAACACATACTAATGTTATGGCCTCTCCAGGATTTACAACTATAGGGTCATCCACCAAGAGTTTAATTGACGGAGATGCTAAAAGACACAAACAAAAAAACATGTACCTATTTAGATCTACTACATCAAGAATGCAACAGCATACTTTATAGTTATTCAAACAATTAAAATAAAGTATGGTTCTATTTAGTCAAAATTTTATTCTATTTATTAAATTAAAACCATATGCAATTATTATATATTTTAATTATGTGGTTTAAACCTGTTGAACTATATTAAGAATTTTACACATAGAGAGGAGAATTAAAATGCATGTATTCTTAGATTATTGTTACAAGCTAGAATAGTAAGAGGGATAAAGTTTCAAAACAAAAATTCCTTTCCTTTTGAATGCTGACAATGACCACTTTTATTTTATTTTTTGTCATTCCAGGTATAAATACTGCAGCTATTTACTCGTATTTTTCATGGTAAAGATAATCAATTATTTAATTTTGGTATTTTACTCTGATATATATATGGCAGAGATATTTTAAGATCATCTTGAATTTGACAGATCCTATACAATATCATATAAAGTGTATTTAAATACACCAACATATTTTGAAGAAATAATTTAAAAATTAATTTTGTTTTATAATGTTTTTATTCATGCTAAAACCATTGTTTTTCAAAATTTAGCATAGAACCTTTAAAACCTCATAGGCAAAAGGTATTATCTATTTCATCATCCGCTTTGCAAGTGCATGCTCTCTATTCAGTGTTCTTACACTGTCCAAAGTCCCTGAGTCTATGCATTATTAGCTTCTTCAGCTTCCTCTTCCTATGTAGGTATATAGGAAATTAAGAAAAATCTCCTTATATTCAATCAGTGTGTAGCTGAGGGTTCAGTAAATGTCTATTTCATGTGTTGGCCAAAGTATCCCATTGCTATGCATGTATAAACATGTAATACCTAATAAAAGTCATCACTTCTCTTATTACCATGAGAAAAGTACATTGTTCTTAAACATGTTGCAAGGTCTATACATCGATTCATTCTTCACAGCCACATGTGAGAGATTATTACTTTAAGCTCATTTTTAAATAAGAAAGAAATTAAACCTGAAGGTTGAAAGGGGACATGAGAAATACTCAATGGACAGTATGCAATTTTTATTTGGGATGTTCATCAACCAAAGTAAAAAGTATAAAAAGGTGAAATACATAAAGTAATCAGGACATTTTCAAATTAAGTGAAAATCACAGAGTGTTTTATTATTTTTTAAAATATATTTTATTGATTTTTTACAGAGAGAAAGGGAGAGGGATAGAGAGTTAGAAACATCGATGAGAGAGAAGCATCGATCAGCTGCCTCCTGCACACCCCCTACTGGGGATGTGCCCACAACCAACATACATGCCCTTGACCGGAATCGAACCTGGGACCCTTCAGTCCCCAGGCCGACGCTCTATCCAGTGAGCCAAACCAGCCGGGGCCACAGAGTGTTTTTAACATTTTATAGTTATTGCTGAAACATGACTCAAATCCCATAATAATAATTCCAAGTCAGTCTGCTTTTAACATAGCACATATATAGATACACATACTTCAGCTGTAAACCTTCTGTACATTCACAGTGCTTGTAACTAATTGTGCTTCCAGTCAGACTTTCAGATTGATCGTCTTCCCTGTACTTAATGATGGAAGGCATGGGTCACCATAGCAGTTGTCTCTAACGTTCAAGATCACTACCCAACAGTTTAGCTTGCTCCATGTGCTTGCTGATGGGAATACAATAGATGGTGGATGAATAGAAAGATGATAGATAGATGATAGATGATAGATGATAGATAGATAGATAGATAGATAGATAGATAGATAGATAGATAGATATATAGATAGATAGAATAAATTGGTCCTGGGAGAAATGTGGGGAGAGAGAGAGAGAGAGAGAGAGAGAGAGAGAGAGAGAGAGAGAGAGAGAGAAGGCTGAGCCCTAGCTGGCTTGGCTCAGTGGATAGAGTTAGTGTTGGCCTGTGGAGGGTCCTGGATTGGATTCTGGTCAAGGGCACATGCCCCGTTTGATCCCCAGTAGGGGGCATGCAGACAATCAATGATACTCTCATCATTATGTTTCTATCTCTCTCTCACTCTCCCTTCCTCTCTGTAATCAATATAAATATATTTAAAAAATAAGTATAAGGCTGATGATGAGGATGAGAATGAGGGGATGGGAAGAGAAATAGGAGAAGAGGGAGGAAAAGAAGAAGAAAAGAGAAAAGAAAGAAGAAATGCCAGTCTATTGTTTCTATTTTCCCAAATCCTAAACCCAATAACTACAATATGAAAAATATTTTTAGGAAATATCTCTGAGAAGGGAATTCTTCCCTTCACTCCTGAAAAAAAAAATTGTGTGGACTAAGCCACAGACACTTCAGAGGAAACAAGAAAGAGATAGAATTGGGCCTTAACCGGTTTGGCTCAGTGGATAGAGTGTCAGCCTACGGACTGAAAGGTCCCAGGTTCGATTTCGGTCAGGGGCATGTACCTTGGTTGCGGGCACATCCCCAGTGAGGGTGTGCAGGAGAAAGCTGATTGATGTTTCTCTCTCATCGATGTTTCTGACTCTCTCTCCCTCTCCCTTTCTCTCTGTAAAAAACCAATACAAAAAAAAAAAAAGAATTGGCCTCTTGATTTCCATATCCAATCCAAAACATTTGGATATTTAAGAGCAAAGAGCCCTTTCTTGGTTTCAGATCACTGAGAGTGACTGGCTAGATATACAAGGACATAGTAAGTCTCATAGAAACAGCTCCATACTTGATAGGAACAACCACTAGCCCTACGAAGTGGAATGGAATGAGGAGAGAGACAGGCCAGGCTGAATGACCCCACATAATAGGAATGAGGGAGGTGTCAGTCCTATCAAAAGATTCAACATAGCACCCCCTAGAAATTATTACTTTTAATTCAACTTATTGGGGTGACATCTGTTCCCAACACCATACAGATTTAAAGCACACAACTCAATAAAACATCATCTGCACACTGCATTCTGTGCCCATTGCTCCAGACAAAGTCTCATTCTGTACCATCCCACTCCCCCCACCTCCACCTCGCCCCACTCCCTTTCCCTCTGACTATCACCACACTTTCATCTGTGTTTATCTCTTAGGTATATATGGTTTTTGGCTAATCCCTTCGTATTCTTTCATCCAATCCACCCTCTCTCCTCCCCTCTGGCAGCTGTCAGTCTGTTCCCTGTATCCATTTTAAACAAAATCTGGTGGACTGTTTCCATATCTTGGCTATTGTAAATAATACTGCTATCAATATAGGGATGCATATATTGTTTCTGATTGGTGTTTCAGTATTCTTAGGATATATTCCCAGAAGTGGAAATCAACAGGCAGTACAATTTTTAATTTTTTGAGGAAACTCCATACTGCTTTCCATAGTGGCTGCTCTACTCTACATTTCTACCAACAATGCACAAGGATTCCCTTTTCTCCGCATTCTCTCCAGCACTTGTTATTTGTTGATTTATTGATATTAGCCATTCTGACAGGTGTGAGGTGATACCTCATCTTAGTTTATATTTGTATTTCTCTGATGATTAGTGACCTTGAGCATCTTTTCATATGTCTATTGACCATCTGTATGTCCTCTCTGAAGAAGTGTCTATTCAAGTCCTTTGCCTATTTTTTAACTGGATTGTTTATCTTCCTGGTCTTTAGTTGTATAAATGGTACATTTACACAATGGAATGCTACAAGGCTGTAAAAAAGAAGGAACTCTCTTACCAAATGAGACAACGTGGAGGGACCTGGAAAGTATTATGCTAAATGAAACAAGCCAGTCAGAGAAAGTACAAGTATCACATGATCTCACTAACATGTGGAATCTAATGAACAAAATAAACTGAGGAACAAATGGAACCAGAAGCATAGATACATGGAATGAACTGGTCGTTGCCCCAGGGAAGGGAGGTGGGGGTGAAGGGATTAGCTAAAGCACATATATGCATACCCCATATACATGGACAATAATTTGGTGAAGGCCAAGGGAGGGGGAAGCTTGGCAGGGGTGAAGGGGAACTAATGGAAGGGGGCTACATCTGCAATAATGTCAACATTAAATTTTTTAATTAAAAAATCTAGTGGAAATGACAATTCCACATTGATTGAAACAAAAGTTCTAAAATTATGGAAGAATAGGTGGTTGATATAAAATATAGTTAAAGTATAAAGTAATAAGAAAATATATATTTATTCAAACCTGAGTTTGTAACCTGAGATTCATGCCCACTACAATTTTAGGGAGTCAGTTCCTCATAAGATCCTCTGGATGTGTGATGGAAATATTTAGTTTGGGGTTAATTATGAATATATTCTGTAGGAAGAAAATACAATTTTAGCTGAGATCAATGACTTCTTGGGTATTTTGTTTTTACTGCTACCAAACATAATTGAATATTTAAGATAAAGATTCTTTTAAAAATTGAAAAAAATAAATTGCTAATCATCTTAGAGACTTTGGCCACCCACAGATTGGGACTTTTAATTTTTAAATAGGAGTGTAGATTTCCACCCCAGACTTTTTTATTAGATATAAGCTGCCAGTTGCCTTGAGTTAGAGATATTATAAGATGTATTTCTTTGAATAGAAGTAATTAGAAAGTAAGTCATAGAGAAAATCAAGAGTAATGAGAAACATAAAAAAAAGAATATACTCCAATTAAAAAAATCCTCAGCTAAAATAGTATTTTTCTTACTTTGAATTCCCCCCCCCCCCCCCCCCAAAAGCAGGTCCTGATACAAGTAGTGCTTGAGTGGAGATTCCAGGATGCATATTCACAGAACAGAGAAGGGAGACAGGACTGGGAGAACAGTAAAAAAGCACCTATGAATGTGTTGTCACTGTGTGAAACCTGGCTCCCTGAGCTGGAAAACCTGTAAGAGACAGTTACATAAAACATGCTCAGAACTCTCCTTATGAAGAGCAAGGAGGCTGAGCAGGGTGTTTGCTAGTACCTACCAACTCTTGTCTCTCATTAGTTGAGGAATATTTTATGGTATTTAACTTCCCAACCTTA